GGATCCTGACACCTGCAGACTACGCCTGAAAAATGCCGGCACATACAGCGTCCCCGACATCATTCTGCAAGTACCGGCGGCAGGCAGAGGCCTGCTGGCAGAAAACATCCATATGGTGCAAATCAAGTACTGCAGGGACACCAACCGACAGGCACCCCACAATTGCAGCAGCCACGGCACAGCATGCTGCGCTCATAGCCGAACTGCAGAAGCCCCACCGCCGGCAGGTTCACCTCAATGTGATTACACTGGGTGTGGGGGGCGCAATCAACGCGGACATGATGAAGGAGATGGCCGACTTAGGGGTGCCCAAAGAAAAACACAAGGCTCTATTCAAGCACCTCAACCTGCACGCGGTGGAGAGCATGACAGCCGTATGGGGCCGCCGAAAGCAACTGCTGCATGCAACCAACTGCCCGCTATCAAGGCCGCGTCAAGGGCGCGGCGTCACGTAAATACGCCCTTGCTTGGCCTCCACGGTGCACCGTGGGGGGTGTGGCTCACCACACACACACCTCTCCTTAACCCGACGTGGCGCCGCCTGCAGCGTGGCTTTTAGCCGCGCGAAGCGTCAGCATTCTCTCTCTCTCTCTCTCTCTCTCTCTCTCTCTCTCTCTCTCTCTCTCTCTCTGTCACTGCATTGGGTTGCTTGCTTGGCCACAGCCCACGCCCGGCGCCCGCTGCGCACCGGCGCCCATTGTGCACGACAGCTGTGTCCTGGAGCAGCAGTGCCATCGCTCCCCGCAAGACCTCGACGGCCGAGGCCGGCTGCTCGGTGAGCAAACCCTAACGCCCGGTCGTCCCGCCCGTTCACAATTGGCTAGCAGCAGCCGCCGACGACGGCCTGCGCCATGAGCGCGTAGCAGTGGCGTGGGCGTGACGGGCAGCGCGGCCGCGGCTCCCAGCCCCGCCTCTGCCAGAGCCCTAAGCACAAGCGACCTTGTGGGGACATGGGCAGCCCCTTCAATAGCGCCAACCTCAACCACGCGAAACGCCTCCTGCCACGCGCTCAGCGCGATGACGGCGCACGCGCCGGCCAGCAAGGCAGAGGCGCCGTCCTGGGTCGGCGAGTATCGACACAAACCTGGGGGACAATCTGGTCGCCTCTGGAGCGAGGTGACGGTGAGAAAGCGGGAACAGGGCAGGCCGCGGGCGGCGGGGCCGCAACTACTTGCAGCTAGGGAGGCTCCGTCGCTGAACTTGCGCGAGCATTCACATCCTGCGTGATTTTTCCCGTGCTGCCTGCAGTCAGCCAGTAGAGCGCTTGCGGTATGGATGCCAGGATCGGATGAAAAGCACGATAGATGGCGATGCGACTCAATACTCACAAAGAAACCTCACAAGACCCTTGTGTGACAAGCAATTTTACTCATTATGAGCGCAGCACATCCCACTTCCAGGACACCTTCTGCAACTGTTGGGGCTGGGGCTGCTGCTGCTGCTGCAGCTGCTGTTGCTGCAACATGTCACTGCTGTTCACAGCCTGCTCTTCTGCAGCCATCGCTGCAAGCTGGCCTGCCGCCGCCGCATGCTCTGCCTGCCACGCTCCAACCTCAAACTGAAGGCGCTGCGCATCGTCAACGTGCCCTAGCACGCACAGCAGCTCCGTGATCTGGCCGGCTTCGACCAGGGCATGCTCTGGGGGTCCGAGGTTGGCAAGGTGCTCACTGAGCGCCCGCTCCTCCTCAGGGCTGCCCTGCTTGATCTTCCGGCTGGCACTCCCTTTCCTAATTTTCTTATGCCCCCGCCGCTGCGCGCCTCGGGCGCCCACCGTGGACGGCGGTGCACTTGCCGCGCTGCTCCCGCCGCCACCTGCGCCACTGTCGGACGCAACGCTGCTGCCCCGCGGCGCCGCCGTGGTCGCGTCGGTGTAGATGCTGAAGCCAGATATCACGCTGGGAGCCTCTGAAATTGCGTCATCGTGGGCGCCATTTGAGGGGTCGTCCGCGTCGGCCTCCAGGGTGGCACGCAGCGCGAGGCGGCGGGAGCGGACCTCTTTGATGCGTCCAAGGTACTTTGATACCTGGATTGCAGGTGGGGGTACAAGAGAACTAGGTGATGAAAACTGCTCTTGAAGTTGCAGGTGGGAGTAAGCTTGGCGGAAGGGACGAAGATCGCGGTTCGCAGCGGCAGTATGTAGCACGGGGTTGGATGGGCGGCACCAGGTTTAGTAGCCGGGCGAGAGGGTGATAGCAGCAGTGGACAGTGGTTGGCGGAGTAGGCAGCTAAACTTGACGAGCCACGCATGCACGCAGGGGTACTCGTAATCGGCTGCAGCCGAGGCAGTCTAGCGAGGGCATGAGCCCCTTCAGCTGCAATCCATCTTGGCGCATTGACCCTGCCGTTTCCGGGGCCCCGCTCCAGTTTTGTGCACGCCTTTTCACCTTTTCCCGGGCCTCTTTGGCCTCTGAAAACAGAGCTGCCGCAGACTCAGCCGCGCCGGGCGCCACCACAGTGTCCACAAGGTCGGGCCTGTTATAAAAAGAGGCGGAGATAAAAATCAGGGGCTAGGAACTCACGCCATGGCATACGGCAACCTGTTCAGAGGCCATGGTCACTTGGAGTACAATGTGGTGTGCATGGGTGGGCTTGTCGTGCAACAGCAGGGTCGCACATGGCTGAGGGGCGTGTGGGCGCAGGAGGAGCCACACACTGTTGCTGACCACGCGGACCCCTTGTGCTGTCAAACGCCCTGCTGGAACCCTCATGCACCCCCACCCAACCAGAGACCTCACACAAAGAGCCCCACTAGCAGCCGGCAGCGCCGCCCGCACCTGCCCTCAGCGTATGCCACCCTGAGCGCCTCACGCCACTCCCGCGCGCCCGCCAGCGCTGAGACACACCCATCCACGTCACCAAGGTATTCCCTCAGCACCTGCCCCGCGTCCGCCGCCTGCCCGCCTGCCGCCAGCCCGACGGCCAGCTCCTGGGCCAGCTGCCGCGTGCGGTCCGGGCCCCAGCCTGCGCGCGCCGCCAGCGCCAGCGCCATGCGCCAGTGGCCGCCCTCGGAGTAGGCCGAGATAGCGCCGTTGGGGTCCCCGGCGGCGAGCAGCGCGACGGCGGCGTCCTCGTGCCGCTGAGCGGCGCTCAGCGCAGCGGCGTGGGCGGACAAGACCCTGGCCAGCCTCTCCCGCCGCGCAGCATCTGCCTCCCCGCCGCCTTGGCCGCCACTGCTATGGTCAAGGGCCGCTTGCGTGCGCACGTTCTCAAGCAGCTGTCGCAGCAGCCCGTGCTGCTGCGCCAGCGCCAGCGCCGCCTCGAAGTGGCCCGGCCCGGCGGCGGCTAGATGGGTAAGGGCTGAAGGGTAGCGGCGCAGGTGGACGTCAATGGCGTGGCGCCGCAGGTTGGGGTCCTTTGGTTTCGCGGCATGGTTTTGGGGGGTGGGGAAACAGGCAGGGGTGGTGAGGTGTGTTCACACTGTCTGAAGGTGCAGGCATGGTCATGATGGCAGCAGCACGCTGATCATGATGCGCGCCCAAGCACTGCACATCAGTCCTGCCCAAAACCCCATAAAGATTGTCATCTCCAGGCTGTATGCACACCTGCATGGCCCCAAACCTCGAGAGCTCGTCCAGATACTCCCCTGGGTCCTTCTGAGCGTGGCTGATTACCATGAAAGCCAGGCCAAGATCATAGATCCCGAGGGCACAGCGGTACAGCTGATCCGCGTCCACGTGCAGCAGCAGGTGCCGCAGCGCCGCGTCCGCGGCAGCGCCAAGCGCGGCCCCGCACCCGCTGTCGTCGCCGGCGTCCCCACTGCCAGCGACCCCGCCAGCCGTGCCGCTGCTGTGGTCGGCCGCCCCCTCCTCCAAGCCGCCGTCGTCGCCGGCAGCGCCGCCGACAGGGCCCGGCGCGGACTGCACGTCGGGGTCGCCCAGCGCGAGGGACGCCTCCTTCGCTTCCCTGATCGCCAGCAGGGCCGATTCGAGGTCAGGAGGGTCGCTGCGGGCATAGGAGGTCACCACAACCTTCAGGTACCTCGCACTCCCGCCGCCACCGCCGGCGCCGCCGCCATCGGAACCGCCGATCGCAGCCCCTTTGCCGCCACCGGCGCCGCGGCCGCTGACACGCCTGCCAAAGGCGCCGTCGAGGCCGGCGCCGCTGCCGCCGCCGTCGCTTGCGCCGCCCAGCTGCAGCACGGCTGCGCGCACGGCGGCGCACACCGCCGCCACCTTCCTTGAGGCGGCGTCTGGAGCCGGCGCGGACGCCGCCAAGGCCGCGCCGCGCCCGTGGTCGGTGGAGCCGAGGCCGGCCGCTGCGACGGCGCCGGCATAAAGGCCGCTTGGCGCAAGCGCGCTGCCGGGCCTGATGGCAAACAGCAGATCACACAGGTCTGCAGGATCCGAGATCGCCTGCGCGTTTTGAAGTTTGGTGCATGTTTGAAAAGCACGGCCGACAGCTGATCAGCAGATGGTATGGAGTTGACATGCCCAACACAGCAGTTGCAAATATTTGGCCACGTCCCCATCGTGACCACAGAGAAACCGAGGGGGATGCGCACGCGACCCGGCCAGCCCCACCTGCACAAAGGCGGGTGCCTGATCCAGAAATGATGGCCATCTGTCGTCCACCAGCACGTTCAAATCCACCCTCTGGCTTCCGGCAAGCTTCCAGGCAACCTGGTAGCTTCCAGCTCGCAGGTGGCCCAAGATTGCTGCCAGCACCAGCAGCCGAGGAGACACGGTTTCCAGGTTGCCGCGTGGCATCTGCAAAATCGCCTGGCAGCCGCCCGCGGGCGCAGCCACGAGGCGGGCGCCCTGGTGGATTGTGGACGCGAGCAATGATGAGACGTGAAGCATGGGTGCACAAAACTGGGCACACGGATGCGCTTCAAACAAAGGGTGGTTGTGCAAAGTAACGCTGACAGTGGCAAGACAGCTGTACAGTTTTTGTTGCGCAGCTGTGCAGAAGCAGCACCTGACACCCCCGTGCCTATCACAACACATGTCAGTATGTACCATCAGGACCACCTCGCGCTGCCATATGTTAACTGCACCGTCATCACTGTCTAGTCCGTTTGCTCCCCCGCTGCAAGAACACCAAAGCCATCTCTGCAACCAGCACACCTGCTCGATCGCTCGGACGTGAATGTCACGCGCCGCGGCTGCCGTGTTGGAGGGCCGCATGGCCGCCACCATTGCAGTCCTGAGGTCGTCGGGCTGGGTATGCCAGCTTGGCAGGGACGCCACATCTGGCTGTGTGCGCGAGCGCATGAGAGGATGTGTGTGTGTGTGTGTGTGTGTGTGTGTGTGTGTGTGTGTGTGTGTGTGTGTGTGTGTGTGTGTGTGTGTGTGTGCGAGTGTGTGTATGCGTGCGTGCATGCGTGCGTGCGTTCGTGCGTGCGTGCGTGTGTGAGAGAGAGAGTGTGTGTGTGTGTGTGTGTGTGTGTGTGTGAGTGTGTGTGTGTGCGCGTGTGTGTGTTGGGGTGGGGTGTGTTGGGGGGTGTGCGTGTGCGAGTGCACGTGTCTGCGTGCATGCGTGTGTGCGTGTGTGTGTGTGGGGGGGGAGTGTGTGTGTGTGTTTGTGCGCGCGCCCACGGGTGTGGGCGCGCATGTCCCCGCGTGCATATGCACATGCGCCAGTGTTGCATAGATGGAGGCAGGAGCGCAGCAAGCGTCTGGCAGCGGATGTGTGTGGCAGGGGTGCAGAGAAAGGGGAGTGGCTCGGAAGTGTTGCAGCACTAACACCCCTTGGGGCATGGGCAGGTGCACACCCCAGATGGGACCAAGAGACCGCACAACTTTGCCAACCTATTCAACAAGTCAAAGCCAACGCCAGCATCCTTACCTCCCTGTGAACATAGCTGCCCAGCTGACTCAGCATGACCGTGAAGAGCAGCGATTGCCGCGTGGTGTACAGCAGCGCGGCGCCGCCAGCGCCGCCCCACCTGGAAGGAAGTTCAGGAGGTAGATGAACGGGACATGAGACATGCTAAGTGAGTGGCAGCGAGGAGAATAGGGGCCCTAGGATAGAGGCAGCTAGGAGGACCCTCAGTGAACCAATCCATTGTCAGTTCTGCGCAAAACAAGCTTTGTGTGCTGCGCGACAGTGCCGGCCGGTGCTGTGATGGGGGCAGTTTGCTGGGCCTGCGTGACAGCGCACAAATCAAGATGAATGGTTCGGCCTTGAGGCTCTGCACACCTGATTGCAAAAGACGTCACGCCGCCCGCCACCAGCCTGCTCCCGTAATACAGCGCCCCGCCCGCTGCGAGCCCAACCGCCGCGGCGGCCCCAATGCCGCCGGGCGGCAGCGCCGCCATCGGGGCACACGGCACGGGAAAGGACGCGCCGGCGGCGAGCGGCGCTGGCGCGCTGGCGCCGGCGTCCCAGCGCATCAGAGCCCCGGACGCCAGCTGTAGCAGCACACCACCCCCATCACCGCCGCCGGCGTTGTTGGCGCAAAGCTCTCTCCCCTGCCCCGCCAACGCTGACGGCGGGGGCAGCGACGCAGCGCACAGCACACTGCCGCCCGAATAGCTGACCGCAACCTCCTCCAACTCAGGCGCCGCAACGCCGCCCTGCCCCTGCCCCAGATCCACCCCCTCGCCTTCCCGCGCTGACATCAGCGGCTCTGGCAGCTTCACGGCGACTTCCACCAGCACGTCCCCTTGCCCACCCTCAAACTCCGCCTCGGGGTGCGGCGCAGCGACCAGCAGCAGCCGTCCAGGACCGACCCAGGCCATGCCTTTGATGCGCCGCCCCTCAGCAAGCGGCAAGCCGCCCGCCGGCACTGCCGCGGCGGCGGCCACCCCAAGTGGAGCGCCGAGCGGCAGCAGAGCGCTCGCCTCATCCCATGCGGACGACACGCGCTGCCTGAGTGCCTGGTGCTGCGCCGCCGGCCTTGCCCCCGCCTGCCGCCGTCCCCCTTCCTCCGCTGCCTCCTGCCGTAAGCCGCCGCCAGCTTCTGGACAGCTGCCAAGCTCGTGCTGCCGTCGCCGCCGCTGCGACTGCCAGACCGCCTGCTCTTCAAGGGTCTCCTCCCACTGGTCGCCGTCCACCGTCCTAACAAATGAGATGCTCCCGCACGACAGCAGCGCAGCAAGGGCCTCACAGCCGGCGCCGTCGTCGTCAAGCAAGGCAGCCAGGCTAACGGGCCGTGTAAAGCGAGCGCGCGCCGCGCATGACGGCGGCGGTGCGGACGACCGCCTGTGTTTTTTGTCGGGAGGGGGGGGGTGGTTTGAGAGGCGCAAGGGCAGCCCGTCCCACGTGCCGGCAAGCGCGCAAAGTGATCGCTGCAGCGATGACGGGCACCCGTTATCTGCCAGGAAGTCCCTCAATGTGCCTGTGCCAACACCGAGGAAGTTTCTGGAGCAAGAGCGACCAAACAACAGCGAAACATCTCAGCTCGCCCACCTGAAGGGCGTTATGAGGACATCGCATCCGTCCACCACCGCGGCCGTCCCCCTCGCGCTCACGCAGCCCTGCCAGCAAAGGGCCGCGCGCACATACTGCCCACAGGCCCCAACGATGTGCAGCAGCCCAGGCCGCTCGCCGTCCCATGCGGCCGTCAGGGCCGGGCCGGGGCCGGCAACACTGCTCGGGAGGCCACTGAATGGGATCTCTTGCTTAAGGTACCAGTGCCAATTAGACCTGTGCCAAACCTGAGGGGCACCGAATGTTGCCAGGCAGGGTGAAAGTCGAATGTGTGTCAGATTGCGTGTCAGAGGCGTGGCTGTCTGGCAGCATCGCATGGACAGCGGCAAGCCGTTGTCACTCATGCGCGCCGCAACCCTGTGACACTAACCATCCACGCACCTGCACTCGCCAGCCATCCCCCGCGCCGCCGCCCCGCTCGCCGCCATCACTGCTTCCAGGCGGCTGCTCGCCTGGCCCCAGCACCACCGCGAGCAGCTCAGAGTCCGCGCTCCAGATCAGATCGCGCACGACGGCAGCGGCCTCATCCCCGCGCACGGGCGGCACGTCGAACCCGCCGTGCTGCAGGCCGTTGCGCTCAAACAGCAAGACCCTCTGCTGCTGCTGCTGCTGCTGCTGCTGCTGCTGCTGCTGCTGCTGCTGCTGCTGCTGCTGCTGCTGCTGCTGCTGCTGCAGGGGCGCGGCGTCTTCGAGACCGGCGGCTGAGACCGCAGCTGCAGCGGTGTCAGGGTAGACTCCACCGCCCGCGTCCCGCAGCCGCGCGGCTGCGGCGGCGGCGAAGAGCCCCACGATCCCCTCGTGGGCAGCCGCCGCCTCCGATGGCGCGACCCCGGCCGCCGCGTACAGGTGGCGCCCGTTGGGCTGCCAGCAGAGCGGCGGGCCCAGGCCGGGGCCGGCGTCCGCAGTGGCGTGGAGCACGCAGCCCTCGCGATCCCAGATGTGTATGCGCCAGCTCGAGGTGCCGCTGCCAAAGCCCGGGCCCCCGCCAGCTGCGCCGGAGCTGCTCGTAGCAAAGAAGCGCCCGTCCCCACGCCACGCGATGCGCGCGCCCCGGTCGCTGCAGCCAGCGCTTGGGGCGCTGCTGCCGCAGGCGTCGGCGGGGGCAGGCTTGTCAAGTGGAATTGCGGCCTCCGCCAGCACGTCCCAGTCCTCCAAAGATGGGAATGTGGCAGCGGCAAGCTTGGTACTCAGACCGCTGTGATAGGGGGAGTGCCTGCTCCTAAGTGCTGCGACAGTGAATTGCGGCAGGCGGCAGCAGACGCAAAAGGCTGCCCCACTGCGACGGCGTCGTTCGCCGAGGTCGCTGTGTGCCCGTCACCTGCGGTTCCCATGCGATGAGTCGCCCCCAACCCCCCCTGGTATCGCAAAGGCACGGCCTCGCACCTTGCTCAGCAGCAGTACCTTCCCACCTGCACCCGCCACGGCAAGTACCTCGCCGTCTGGGCTCCATTCCGCCGCGTCGACCCCGCCGGCCACTGATCCCACCTCCTCCACGTCCTGGCTCGCCGTGTGCAGCAGCAGCAGCTCGCCACTGCTGAGCGCCAGGAACAGCGCGTCAAGCTCAAGCACGTGCGAGAGGGCCACGACAGCGGGGACGGGGGCGCCGCTGGCGCGTGCCGGGAGCAGAGGGGCGCGCCACAGTACCTGGGGGCCCCACGTAAGACGGGGTGGGGGGCTGAGCGCCAACGGCGGCACACGGCTGGCGCGCGCTGCTGTGGTTTACGGAACAAAAATGTGCGCAACACGATCACCATGACAAATTCGTTGCCCCCCTGTGCCTCACCCTGCAGTCTTGCTCCGCCACGCAGGCGACGGCCCCAGCATCATTTGCGCAGTAGAGACGGCCGTCGCCAGCCCCCAGGCAGAATCGCTGCACCCGTTCGTTCGTGAGGGCGTTCTTGGGCGCAACCTCTACCTGCCGGACCTCCAAGTTGGGAGATATATTCCTCATGCTGAGAGGACCGGTCGTCTGAAGAAGCTGCTGTCAGATCATTTTCTCAAATTGCCCGATCTCTTGATTTTCATGAAGGTTTGATTCATCTTATGAGCTAGGGTGACTGGTGTGTGGATTCACCGCACGCAGCTGGCCTGTAAAGTCACTCGGGCCCCGTCACTTGCAGTCTTAGGCCGTGGATGTCGTGTTTGTGAACGTTTGTACCTGATGTTCGCACCGGCAACCCGAGTCGGAAGTGATCGCTACCACCTCTGCGTCCGATCATCCTCGGGCGCAATCAGCATTTGCAGCGCTGCGCACCGTGACGGCGCCAGCCGTTGGCGCTGACAGCAGCCATGCCCAACAACAAGACCGTCATGAAAGTGCTGGCAGGCGACAAACCAAACCTCTATATCAATTCGGCTGGTGAGAACCGCCTTTCGGAGCACTGGCCAGTCCGCGTCTGGGTTGCAGCTGTAGGCGCAAGCTCAAACCCTGCGACTTGAGCGGGCTGATGGTGCAGGGTTTTTACTCATTGAGCGCACTGTGGTGGGCATCTGGTTGGAGTGTGGGCGGCAATGGGAGGCTGTTGAGGGCGGCTGTGTGGATAGCTGCGATAGTGGCAAGTGCGGCGCTGCCACGATGCTGCCGCTGACGCTGCACATTTTCCGCGCGCAGAACACGCGCTGGACCTTTGCCGAGCCAGTACGATACCCCCTGGCAAGCGCGCCCGTGTGTACGCACAGCAACCTATATGCGCAGCAGCAGCAACGAGTGAGGTCAAGCGCTCGGCAGTGGATGGCGCCAAGTAAGGCCATCCTTGTTTCCTTGATTGGAACCTTGGTGTCCTCGGGTTGTTTTTCCATGAATGTGGGACGATGCAAGGCCATCCGGAAGGGACGCTGCGCGCCGCCGCAGCTGCACATGCTGCCCATCCGGCTTTTTGGACAGCAGTTGGTCACACATGCTGACGGGCAACCCTACAGTACTTCCCGTCCCCCTACTATGTCAGCATCACGCTGAGGTCCAGGTCAATCATCAAGACATGTCTACAGAGCTGGATCGTAAGGCGGGGCTGCTTGCTGCCCTCGGGCGTCAAAGCCCGGCAGCGTCGTCCATATCATCAGCTGGTCGGTGCCCGCCAGCTGGCTGTCACTCACCACCTGCAGGGGTGTGACTCGGGGGGTGGTTTGTGTCGCCTAAAAGCGATTGCAGTATCGATGATGTAATCCAGCACCAATTGCTCTGTGCTGCCACTCGCGCCAACCTTGCAGCGGGTGTAGTTGGGTAAGGGGCTGGGGGTGCGGCCGTTCAGGGCATACATGTCGCACCGCTCAAGCAAGGTGCATAGGTCACGGCCTGCTCCCCGTGCTGCCCCTCTCGCTGGCCCGGCGCCTGTGCGCGACCAACTCACGCGTTGAGGTCCCCCAGCAGCACCACTTCTGCCCCCCGTAATTGTGCAGCATGCACGTCCTGCATGCTGACCATCATGCGCCATGATAGTGGGTTGTGACTCACTGCATACACCCCGCTCCTTGATTTGATGCAGCACTTCTTGACGTGTGGCTTTCAAGCAACCTCAAAGGCATATTTTAGCCCAGAGAAAGAGAGAGGCCTCTCTCTTTCTCTGCATGCTGCTAGTGTGTATGTGGCAAGTCAACTCGAGCCAACACCTTACTGGCAAACACATACATGGTGTGCACATGTGCATGTGTGACAATTGCGACACAA